TATATATATATATTACTCTTGATGTCCTTTATACTGGGCTAGGCCACTATATATATTTATTACCCTTGCTGTCCTTTATACTGGGCTAGGCTACTATATATATGTATTACCCTTGATGCCCTTTATACTGGACTAGGCTACTATATATATGTATTTCCCTTGCTGACCTTTATACTGGGCTAGGCTACTGTATATATGTATTACCCTTGCTGTCCTTTATACTGGACTAGGCTACTATATATATGTATTACCCTTGATGCCCTTTATACTGGGCTAGGCTACTTTATATATATATGTACTACCCTTGATGTCCTTTATACTGGGCTTGGCTACTATATATATGTATTATCCTTGCTGTCCTTTATACTGGGCTAGGCTAGTATATATATGTATTACCCTTGCTGTCCTTTATACTGGGCTAGGCTACTATATATATGTATTACCCTCTACTATATATATGTATTACCCTTGATGCCCTTTATACTGGGCTAGGCTACTGTATATATGTATTACCCTTGCTGTCCTTGATACTGGGCTAGGCTACTATATTTATGTATTACCCGTGCTGTCCTTTATACTGGGCTAGGCTACTATATATATATTTATTACACTTGCTGTCCTTTAAACTGGGCTAGGCTACTATATATATGTATTACCCTTGCTGTCCTTTATACTGGGCTAGCCTACTATATTTATGTATTACCCGTGCTGTCCTTTATACTGGGCTAGGCTACTATATATATATTTATTACCCTTGCTGTCCTTTATACTGGGTTAGGCTACTATATATATGAACAAACTTGGTAGCCCTTCATCCCAGCATGCTACTGGCCAAATGTCATCAGCCTGGGCCTCTTGGTTATTGAGAAAAAAGTTGTTTAAACTAAAAAGTTGACGCCAGACGGATGCCGGCCGACGGACGCCGCACCATGCCATAAGCCCTTCGGGCAAGGTGAGCTAATAATTTATTAATTGTTGAAGTGCTAAACATACATGGTACCTGAAATCCAAATATAGACATGTATCATTTGCATACAATGGAATACAACCAGGCCTACCCGTGAATAAAATCAGTTCAATTGATAAAGTTCCTTTGTTATTTATTTTACATGTCAAGTTTTACCATTTATTTTAATATCACAAGCTAGGTAATTATCAATTTTACACAAAAGCAATGCTATGAATTGCAATTCAAATACACTTTACAACATTTTCTGGTAAAATGTATTGTATATAAAAGCCACAGTTCATGTTCAATATGATGATGAAAGAAAATGTCTGATTCTTTCCTAAGAACAATGCCTGTATGGCAGATGAAAATGATCCCATTGCCAACAAGAATTTGATGATCTGTAATAAACAATATCACGAAAAATGTGTTGTAATAATCATGATTGTTTGGTAATTAACCCCATGTCCATTTCGTGAATTACCATTTTGCTATCAACATCACCCCCTCACTGTTTTTTAATCTGATTTCTACATTTAGCAATAGTATCTGAAGTCCAGGTTGGGAATCCGACACAAAGTTTTTTTGTTGAAGTCACCACTTGGGTTTTCAGGAATATTCTTTATAATATGGCAAGAATAGTATTTTGTAATCAACACTTTGTATGGAAAATTCTTCTGGTTATGGTAGGATTTGTTTTGGTTCATTGTAACGCGATGATGAGTGTTAGAGCCAAACTGTTTTAATTAACAGTTTCTCAAGTCTGTAGTATGAAAATTTTCTCCTTTGATACAGTCAGACTTTTTTGTGAACCAGTTTCCAACAGTACTGTAAGGAACAATCTCCATCATACAGTCAGATCTTTTTTGTAATCCACACTTCGTGACGGGTCTGTAGGAAATATTCTCTGACACTGTGTCATCAACCTTTTGAGCGCCTGTGAAAACAAAAGAATTATGGTAAAAGGATACATTTGTTATATCCACCCCCACCCCCAAAGATAATAACATAAAGAGAAAAAAATCCATATCAGTATTTGAAATGCATGTAATATACATTTAATACATAGCTCAAATGGTTTGATAAACCAGTTATTAAACTTATCAAAATTAATTCTTTTTTTAACCTCATGAGTTTGTTAACTGAGAATTTCATAATCTTACTTCCTTGGACAAATTTATAATCTTACTCCCCTGGATAAGTTTACAATCTTACTTCCCTGGATAAATTTATGATCTTACTACCCTGGATAAGTTTATAATCTTACTCCCCTGGATAAGTTTATAATCTTACTCCCCTGGATAAGTTTATAATCTTACTCCCCTGAATAAATTTATAATCTTACTCCCTTGGATAAATTTATAATCTTACTCCCTTGGATAAGTTTATAATCTTACTCCCCTGGATAAATTTATAATCTTACTCCCCTGGATAAGTTTATAATCTTACTCCCCTGGATAAGTTTATAATCTTACTCCCCTGAATAAATTTATAATCTTACTCCCTTGGATAAATTTATAATCTTACTCCCTTGGATAAGTTTATAATCTTACTCCCCTGGATAAATTTATAATCTTACTCCCCTGGATAAGTTTATAATCTTACTCCCCTGGATAAATTTATAATCTTACTCCCTTGGATAAGTTTATAATCTTACTCCCTTGGATAAGTTTATAATCTTACTCCCCTGGATAAATTTATAGTCTTACTCCCCTGGATAAGTTTATAATCTTACTCCCCTGGATAAGTTTATAATCTTACTCCCCTGAATAAATTTATAATCTTACTCCCTTGGATAAATTTATAATCTTACTCCCTTGGATAAGTTTATAATCTTACTCCCCTGGATAAATTTATAATCTTACTCCCCTGGATAAGTTTATAATCTTACTCCCCTGGATAAGTTTATAATCTTACTCCCCTGGATAAGTTTATAATCTTACTCCCCTGGATAAGTTTATAATCTTACTCCCCTGGATAAGTTTATAATCTTACTCCCCTGGATAAGTTTATAATCTTACTCCCCTGGATAAGTTTATAATCTTACTCCCCTGGATAAGTTTATAATCTTACTCCCCTGGATAAGTTTATAATCTTACTCCCCTGGATAAGTTTATAATCTTACTCCCCTGGATAAGTTTATAATCTTACTCCCCTGGATAAGTTTATAATCTTACTCCCCTGGATAAATTTATAATCTTACTCCCCTGGATAAGTTTATAATCTCACTCCCCTGGATAAATTTATAATCTTACTCCCCTGGATAAATTTATAATCTCACTCCCCTGGATAAGTTTATTATCTTACTCCCCTGGATAAATTTATAATCTTACTCCCCTGGATAATTTTATAATCTTACTCCCCTGAATAAATTTATAATCTTTCTCCCTTTGATAAATTTATAATCTTACTCCCTTGGATAAGTTTATAATCTTACTCCCCTGAATAAATTTATAATCTTACTCCCTGCGATAAATTTATAATCTTACTCCCTTGGATAAGTTTATAATCTTACTCCCCTGGATAAGTTGATAATCTTACTCCCCTGGATAAGATTATAATCTTACTCCCCTGAATAAATTATAATCTTACTCCCTGCGATAATTTTATAATCTTACTCCCTTGGATCAATTTATAATCTTACTCCCCTGCATAAATTTATAATCTTACTCCCTTCGATAAGTTTATAATCTTACTCCCCCGGATAAGTTTATTATCTTACTCCCCTGGATAAATTTATAGTCTTACTCCCCTGGATAAGTATATAATCTTACTCCCCTGGATAAGATTATAATCTTACTCCCCTGGATAAGTTTATAATCTTACTCCCCTGAATAAATTTATAATCTTACTCCCTTGGATAAATTTATAATCTTACTCCCTTGGATAAGTTTATAATCTTACTCCCCTGGATAAATTTATAATCTTACTCCCCTGGATAAGTTTATAATCTTACTCCCCTGGATAAGTTTATAATCTTACTCAATCTTACTCGCCTGGAAAAATTTATAATCTTACTCCCCTGGATAAATTTATAATCTTACTCCCCTGGATAAAAATCACAAGCAATCTTTTGGTATATTTATGACCACTAAATTTATCCTTTCCCCATGTAGAACAATCACACAACCATTGATTTTATTGTTGTTGTTTTTTATCTATATGTGGCTAATATTCTTAACAAAATCATGATTGTCACATTATTTAGAGTCAGGCTTCATAGTGTTCCAGTAAAAGTCATTGGAAATTTTAACAAACTTCACCCCTGTAACTTTGAAAATTATCAAGGTAATTTATTTGAATAAGTGAGTCCTTTTTCACAGTAAGCTACATTCCAAAAAACCTAAATCTAGTCTTCTCAGTTCTGTAATTCTATACATGAGGCCCAATGGGCCTGAATCGCTCACCTGGTATTAATCTTCCACTTTTAATCTCAAAAGTGGCCTAAATAACTGCTACAGGCAGAATATCAGTGTTTGATTCATAAGAACCTTAATAAAAGATTTAAACATATGACGCCTGTGACCTTGAATGTCGAACAAGGACATTAGGTTGAAAGTGGGAAAAGGTCATTCATTTGAACAAACTTGGTAGCCCTTCATCCCAGCATGATGCTACAGGCCCAATTTCAGTACTCTTGGCCTTTTGGTTATTGAGAAGAAGTTGTTTGAAGATTTTAAGACATTTGACCCCTGTGACCTTGAAAATAGATGAAGGTCATTCATTTGAACAAACTTGGTAGATCTTTATCCCAGCATGCTACTGGTCAAATATCATCATCCTATGCCTTTTGGTTACTGAGAAGAAAGATGTTTAAAGTAAAAAGTTGACAACGGACAGATGGACGGACGACAGATGAAGGACAGACGGACGCCGCACCATGGCATCAGCTCACTTGCCCTTCGGACAGGTGAGCTTAAAACTTCATTAAAATATCTTCTGTTACAAAGAAGTAAGCCCAAGATAAGATAACTTTAATTTGATCTTTGCATGGGTCGACACTAACACTAGTCCGCTAGTCCTGGACTAGTAGATTTCAGCAAGGACTAGTGAATCACCTAACCTAACTGGTCCTTTGGACTTGTGAAATTTGATATAAAATAAGAATATATTTTTTTAATTTTACGTGCTGTAAATCGCGCTGTTTCCTGATAATCAGGGAATCTTGGACTAGTTACATTAGCGAAGGACTAGCAAATCATCTATTTAACTAGTCCTGTGGACTACCAAGCAAAAACAGTTAGTGTCTAACCCTGCTTTGACATCAATTTTTGATCTTATCATTGAAATGACAGTTCTAATAATACCTCAAGGCACATTTCCTAGTGATGGCTTATATAAAATTGTATAAGTTTCCTCATATCATTTCATTGGTCAAAAAGTTCTGGACAGTAGACAAAATTTACAGACTGACAGACCAGACGAAAAGTGTAATATCATACACTATATTTCATCAATATTGACATATGAAATTACACAAGACAAATAAATTGTGAAATTCTCATCTTTCATTGTTACGAAACATCTATCTGGATGTGAAATTTCTCTACATTTCTTTGTTAAGAAATGTTTACCTGGATGTACTTCCTCTGCGTTTCATCGTTAAGCACATGGGCTACGTTCCTTGAGGAGATTTTTTCTCTGCCGGTACGTGCATGGATACCCACCATGGTAACACCAATAGGCCAAGGTGCATTGCCGATCGCCATTTCTAAGTAAGCATCATTTGCCTGTTGAAATAACATTATGTACGTTAACTGTAGCATTCCTTTTGTTAGAATTGAACACAAAGAGAAAACTTATATAAATCTAATGCCAATATAGTCAATAATGAATTATGAGTTAAATCAGATCAGTAAATATAACAAATAAACCTTTAAATTTGAATACCCTCCATTTGTTCAAAATAAAACTTTGTTTAATTTCATTTATGACAATACAGTCAAACCTGTATTAAGAGGCCACTCAAGGGACCGGCAGAAATTGGCCGCTTAAGACAGGTGGCTGCTAAAACAAGGCTCACCCGAAAATCACAACCAAGTTTTCCAAGATGTTCATACATCCACGGGTTATAATGACATTTTTCCGGCAATATAGGCTGCTGTTATTTCAAATTTGTTTCCCTTCATCAACAGGGGTACGATTTCATACATTATAAATGCATAATCAATAAAATACAAAGTCGTTTTGGTGATTAATTTCTTAAAATGATGAATTTCTTTTTGTTTGGCTACACACGTGTTCCACATACATTTTGCGCTAGCAGACAACCACCAGTACTGAAATCTACATGTAGATCAACTTTTAATGAAAACCTGCATTGCGGTGTATTCTGATCTATGCTGTTCAAACAATTTTCTAATGAAATGATATATCAGTATTTTCTATTGAAATGATATATCAGTATTTAGTTAATTCATCACCTATAAATAAATCACTCAATAAATCTAGAACTTTGCAAGAATCTTTGAGCTTTCAACTTAGCGTAACAGTTTATTCACAGCACCCATGCGCCGTATGGAAAGCTTTACAATGTCCTGATTTCGCACAGCTATTACAAACCAAAAAAATATATCATAGAAATAAATCACGACATAGCAATGAAATAAAAAATCTGATTCAGCGTCTGCACTGTGAAATGTATCCTTTGACATGACGTGTGCTTCGTTGATATAGAAATAGTGACTGGCAGACCGGAAGGAGATCTGTTTTCCGTATGCAATAGAGCGGCAAGTTTTTTTATCACATAACATATTAGGCCTGAGTAGCTTTGGATACAGTATGTACAGATACCACAAAAGATCATACTTGTTTTGAAAATCACAAGCTGATTGAGTACACAAGGTGGGATTAATTGTTTTGTTTGTAAAACATTGTTGATGGGTTGGGTATAGGACCTGCCCCAATTTGCAAGCTGAAAAATGCTGTGTAATCAACTTGTCAATTCAACGTGTCAAACCTTACCTATGGTTTTTAATTACACATTGTAATTAGCTTTGCTCTATTGAGATGTGTTCTTGTTAATATATTGTAATCTTCTTGATGTCAATTTCTGGACAAAATGACCGCTGAATACAGGTGGGGATAAAGTCTCGGACCAGAGTTTTGTGACCGCTGGCCGCATTAGACAGGCGGCTGCTTATTTCAGGTTCACTATATAGTGTTTTCTATCGGGCGGACCACAGACTGACCACATAAGGGAGGTTGGCTGCTTATTTCAGGTGACCGCTCCAGCAAGTTTGACTGTATTAACATTTTGTATGATTTATGTCAGTAGAGTGTTTTTTTGCAGCATTTCATCTTGAAATTTATATTTAACTTGTGCATTTCATATCTGTACTGAAATCTCTACATATTATATAGTAAATTGTATACAAACATTACAGGGAAAAAATTCAATCAGCCTGTAATTCTATTCAAACAATTTAATTTGCATTTGCAACGTAAAGGTGATAAATAAAATTTTACCTTGATATACTCTCTGTCCATTAAGAATTTTAGAATATCCACCATGCATTCTAAAATATCTTCATCTGTTTTCTGAAAAAATAATTTGTAGTTTATTATTTATAATAAACTTTGTTTGTAAACAGCCATTTGTTTATATGTCATGTGCAACATTGTTGATTTTTAATTATGTGGATAAATATCATATATATATATATATATTATAGTAGTACCTGCATGTGTACCAACATTTAGGTATACGTAATGCTGTCATGTTATATTTATAGATACAGAACAAAGAACATAGCTCAACAGTCTCCTACACTCTCCTTACACGTGATAATATGGTAATAATTAGATTAGGGATGATGCTGATTGGCTTAAGTTTTCACTAGGCAGGTCAAGGTTAATTACAATTGGTCAAGCGGTGTAGCCTAGCATAATTAATGAGATGACCAACAAAGGTCAGCGTCACCCCGCACTGTTTTAAGAAACTATCGGAGCATGCAGACAAATTTTACATCAGCTTACCGCCATTCACCCCAACCTCCACCTTATAATTATTACATTGTATGCATGTATACTGCAGCATCAGTTTCTTACATTATTTACATACATCTACAAGTGTACCAAGGAGTACAGTGGCACAAGTAAACGGAGCAATTTGTGTTGTTACATGTAATTTTATTGAATGATGAAAGAGCAGACACAAGTCGCATAGAGTGAAGTCATATACAGATGTACATGTTCTTGTATATTAATTCTAATGTTATAGTATTGGGGCTATATCATGGTAGGGATATAGGGAATACAGATCAGAGGTATAGACTATGGGAGGTACACAACACATATGTTGTTGTATTCAGCTCCCATATTGATATACAGTTATACCTACTTAATAATTAAGGTGCCTATAAGTTATAATTAGGTATCCTATAGATCCAGGATTTTCCAACAATGATGAATCCTCTCATGGGATTGGTACAACATGGGCTAACGGGGCCCATGTGTCCGATCCAGGATTCAGGAAATATCCTCTCATGGGATCTATATCCAGAAAATTAGATCTAGATATTATGCGGACCCAGGAATTTCCTGATCAGATATCCTCTCATGGGTTCGAATTCCAGGTATATGAGCTACTCATCATGTCTGGATCCAGGATTGTCAGAAATATCCTCTCAATGGGGTCTGTTTTTTGATAATGGGAAATCTAATCCAGCCGTTGGGACCAGGGGTGACAGTTTCGCTCCTGGGGGGATATATTGGCAGTAATCCTGGGACAAGGGGTGAAAGTTCACTCCTGGTAGGATAACGTCAGTAATCAGTGAGATTTCCATAGCTTATATATGTGTAGTATGATATAGCCCCCAAGGCCAATCCTTAAATGTAGATGATCATGAAATGTATATATTTGTGTATTGTTGATTTCTTCTGTTATATGTACATGTATAAACATGTGTATGCTGATTTATAAGACATATACAACAATGTTGGTCATGATAACATTGCATACCTATACAGTTAATAAATAGCATTCATTTAACTGTATCATATTGTTCTGGTTGTTTATAAACGGTATATCAGACATGGTTCAACATGTTACTCGAAAATGTAATGGTATGCAGAAACTAAGAAACTAAAACTAAAACAAGATCTCTCTCCCCTTGTAAATTTCTTCTTTCCCTTTTCTATATCTTATCAGTCGCTGCCTGCTTGTTGAAGGAGACACATAAGTTTCAAACTTTTTTTCTGAATTATTGCTGTATGCAATGTATGCAATGCATGCTATGTATGCAATGTATGCTATGTATGCAATGTATGCTATGTATTGCAATGTATGCTATGTATGCAATGTATGCTATGTATGCAATGTATGCAATGTATGCTATGTATGCTATGTAAGCTAAAAATGGTATCGTGAATTTTTTTTGTTTAAATCGATGAACTGCATGCATCTTCCAAGATTTTTTGATACTAATTGTGTCAGCAATGAGGACACACTATCCAGACAACAATGAGAACACTATCCAGACAACAATGAGGACACACTATCCAGACAACAATGAGGACACACTGTCCAGACAACAATGAGGACACTATCCAGACAACAATGAGGCCACTATCCAGACAACAATGAGGACACTATCCAGTCCAGACAACAATGAGGACACACTATCCAGACAACAATGAGGACACACTGTCCAGACAACAATGAGGACACTATCCAGACAACAATGAAGACACTATCCAGACAGCAATGGGGACACTATCCAGACAACAATGAGGACACTATCAAGACAACAATGAAAACACTATCCAGACAACAATGAGGACAGTATATCCAGACAACAATGAGGACAATATCCAGACAACAATGAGGCCACTATCCAGACAACAATGAGGACACTATCCAGACAGCAATGAGGACCCTATCCAGACAACAATGAGGACACTATCCAGACAACAATGAAGACACTATCCAGACAGCAATGAGGACACTATCCAGACAACAATGAGGACCCTATCCAGACAACAATGAGGACACAATATCCAGACAACAACGAGCACACTATCCAGACAACAATGAGGACACAATATCAAGACAACAACGAGGACACTATCCAGACAACAACGCGGACACTATCCAGACAACAATGAGAACACTATCCAGACAACAACAAGGACAATATCCAGACAACAACGAGGACACTAGCCAGACAACAACGAGGACACTATCCAGACAACAATGAGGACACACTATCCAGACAACAACGATGACACTATCCAGACAACAACGAGGACACTATCCAGACAACAATGAGGACACTATCAAGACAACAATGAGGACACTATCCAGACAACAATGAGGACCCTATCCAGACAACAATGAGGACACAATATCCAGACAACAATGAGAACACTATCCAGACAACAACAAGGACAATATCCAGACAACAACGAGGACACTAGCCAGACAACAACGAGGACACTATCCAGACAACAATGAAGACACTATCCAGACAGCAATGAGGACACTATCCAGACAACAATGAGGACACTATCAAGACAACAATGAAAACACTATCCAGACAACAATGAGGACACTATATCCAGACAACAATGAGGACAATATCCAGACAACAATGAGGACACTATCCAAACAACAATGAGGACACTATCCAGACAACAATGAGGACACTATCCAGTCAACGAGGACACTATCCAGACAACAATGAAGACAATATCCAGACAACAATGAGGACAATATCCAGACAACAATGAGGACACTATCCAGACAACAATGAGGACACACTATCCAGACAACAATGAGGACACTATCCAGACAACAATGAGGACACTATCCAGACAACAACGAGGACACTATCCAGACAACAACGCGGACACTATCCAGACAACAATGAGAACACTATCCAGACAACAACGAGGAAACTATCCAGACAACAATGAAGACACTATCCAGACAACAACGAGGACACTATCCAGACAACAATGAGGACACACTATCCAGACAACAATGAGGGCACTATCCAGACAACAATGAAGACACTATCCAGACAACAATGAGGGCACTATCCAGACAACAATGAGGACACTATCCAGACAACAACGAGGACACTATCCAAACAACAACGAGGACACAATATCCAGACAACGACGAGGACACACTATCCAGACAACAACGAGGACACTATCCAGACAACAATGAGGACACACTATCCAGACAACAATGAGGACACTATCCAGACAACGACGAGGACACTATATCCAGACAACAATGAGGACACTATCCAGACAACAATGAAGACACTATCCATACAACAATGAGGACACTATCAAGACAACAATGAGGGCACACTATCCAGACAACAATGAGGACACTATCCAGACAACAATGAAGACACTATCCATACAACAATGAGGACACTATCAAGACAACAATGAAGACACTATCCAGACAACAATGAAGACACTATATCCAGACAACAATGAGGACAATATCCAGACAACAATGAGGACACTATCCAGAAAACAATGAGGACACTATCCAGACAACAATGAGGAGACTATCCAGACAACAAAGAGGACACTATCCAGACAACGAGGACACTATCCAGTCAACAATGAGGACACTATCCAGACAACAATGAAGACACTATATCCAGACAACAACGAGGACAATAACCAGACAACAATGAGGACACTATCCAGACAACAATGAAGACACTATATCCAGACAACAATGAGGACAATATCCAGACACCAATGAGGACACACTATCCAGACAACAATGAGGGCACTATCCAGACAACAATGATGACACTATCCAGACAACAATGAGGACACTATCCAGACAACAACGAAGACACTATCCAGACAACAATGAGGACAATATCCAGACAACAATGAGGACACACTATCCAGACAACAATGATGACACTATCCAGACAACAACGAGGACACTATCCAGACAACAATGAGGACAATATCCAGACACCAATGAGGACACACTATTCAGACAACAATGAGGGCACTATCCTGACAACAATGAGGACACTTTCCAGACAACAACGACGACACTATCAAAACAACAATGAGGACACACAAACCTACAGCTGTCAGGAGGCTTTGATACATATCCAGCCAACAATGAGGACACACAAACCTAAAGCTGTCAGGAGGCTTTGATACATATCCAGCCAACAATGAGGACACACAAACTTAAAGCTGTCAGGAGGCTTTGATACATATCCAGCCAACAATGAGGACACACAAACCTACAGCTGTCAGGAGGCTTTGATACATATCCAGCCAACAATGAGGACACACAAACTTAAAGCTGTCAGGAGGCTTTGATACATATCCAGCCAACAATGAGGACACTCTCCAGACAACAATGAGCACACTATCCAGACACCACCGAGGACACTATCCACACAACAATGAGGACACACAAACCTACAGCTGTCAGGAGGCTTTGATACATATCCAGCCAACAATGAGGACACACAAACCTAAAGCTGTCAGGAGGCTTTGATACATATCCAGACAACAACGAGGACACTATCCAGACAACAATGAGGACACACAAACCTAAAGCTGTCAGGAGGCTTTGATACATCATAGAAATAAAGATATAGTCACATGTAATGCAACTTGATCCCACAATATCTTTTTTTTTATAATTTAATTGGCAACTTCAAAATATACAAATAGGCCGGGATAGATGTTACAGTGATCTATAGTTCTAAAGGAGACAGTTACATTCATTAGAGCAAAGATTAAAGTTTCATATGTCACATCGATAATGACCAGTGGGTGAATATGAGGATTGTAAGATGTGACCTTGACCCGTGTGATGGTAATACTGGTCAGTTACCTTATGTTTCAGTCTCCGAAACAGCGGTTTGAGGTAGGACACTGTTTGTGAATGGATGGCACTAGCCTCTTTCCCTGTCCTTGATCTTTTGTTTTCTTCATCTCGACAGTTAAGATCATCGCCCCATTTCTTTAAGATGAACTGATGGAAAAGGCTAAGGTGTTAATTAATCATTAGTAACCAATTTCAAGTTAACGACCATTCCAAACGCATTTTTGTAATCTTAAAAAAATAAATAAAAATGTCAAACTTTTTGTTCTGGCTTTTGTAGAAAAAAAAAAGCTGAATTTAAGTGCGTTGTGACCTTGACCTTCAGACTTAGCAGGTAAGGTGTTTTTTATCATGACTTTGTAGCATTCTTCACAAATGTGAATGGAACAGAGCACATCAAAGAGCAACTCTAAAGTGTATCATTGATGTAAGTGTAATCTGTGTAGCGCTTGTAGCTGTCCAGATTGTACAAAACTATTCTTCTTAATTATCTTTGCGGTAGGCCAGACACACGTTGGAAGTCTGGATGATCAGTTCCAAAACTTATATCAGGATATTTAGGGCTTACAAAATAAGGTACTGTTATTTTATAGACACACTAAATTCTACTTAAGATGAGTAAAATAACTTACCTTTAAAAATCTTAAAATTATTTCCTGATCTTGGTCACTGCCATTTTTTCCGATTTCATCACTCATTTTCTGAAATGTTGAAAAAATTATCCCTACTTACCACAATTTTTTGTATAAACCAGTCTATTGACTCAAAGTAACTATGTTAAATTAAGTATTGTTTCCTTTCAAAGGTGTACATCAATTTTTGTTCCCTGTGACACTTTCCTTGTTAAACATTATACATGCCATTTATTTGCTTTGAATCCAAAAGAATATTCTCAGCTTCCCTAGTTACTTCCCCTTGCATAAATCTTTATCGTAGAATCACCAGTGAGCAATGTCGGTCGCGATGTTTCAAAATAATATGATGAACTTATAGGTATATTAACAAGGTTACCGCGAGCGGTATATAATACGCCCGTCACACATTGAATGAGCAGTTGTTTGTATGATTGAAATATATGAAGTATTTGTGAGTAATTGATATAAAAGAAAAATCATTCAACATAACTGGTAGATCAATGAGTGCAATTCAACATCATGGAACACATGCATCGCATTAATGAAACCAAGGGGAATAACTCCAATAATTACGGTCGGATAATGGCGGTTATCGAACTTGTCCGAGGTTTCATGGTAATTAACCTTGTTGTGAAGTTTGAAGTTCATCCGTTAATAATACCT